CGACAAATGTAGGCCTACAATATTATGTTAAAAACGTCAGCCACAGCCCTCAACATAATGACGTCATGTGTTTTCCAACCCAGCCATCAGCCCCCCTCGCTTGAAACAGCTTCCAGCGCGCCTGGCACTGGGGACACTCTGGGTGACACGAGCCACGTCAGCTGTCAGCCCATCGGCTGGATTGCACCCCTCTCAAGGGGTATGGACTGAACTGCTAAACCAGGTAAGTGACTCACTGAGAATATCATCTTCAGTCAGATGATCGTGGTCACTTACCTGTCTTTCTCCCTTAGAGTGTCTGAGATTGGGCGGTGCCCCCCTCCCCATCCTGCTGTGTCCGCGAGCCACAGCTCCACTTTAGTTTTTGTTTTGTTAATAAACGTTTTGAACTTTCCTACTGGCTGTCTCTCCTTGAATACTGGATCCATCTGTCCTCGGTTTTTGACACAGGGCCAGCATAAAAATAATGCGTCCTTTAAAAAAGTTACAGTGAAACCTAACAGGAATATATTTTCACTATCCTAAACCTATTATCTGGATTATATTTATAGAAACGCATATATACATACAAAATATACAAAAATGTTTGTATCTGGAGCGTGTAACAAGAGTAATTTCCCTCTGGGATTAAAAAAGTATGTCTGATTCTGATGTGTACATAAATACAGCTGTGCTTTTTGTTTTAAATAAGCTGTTATTTTGATAGGATGTAAATTTAAAGATTATATGATCCTAGTTATCCCTGGTACAAAAATCCACAACAAATAGAAAATATTAGGGCAGAAACTGCACATATGCTTGATGCTGATTGTTTTTTTTTTAAATATTTCATATTATTAAGCGTTTATTTTGCATGTTTTGCTCCTATGAATTTAAAAATAATATAGCGCATGCTCTTCCCGAGCTCCGAAGAAGTCGGAGCGCAGCAAGACGGGAGGAACAGCTTTAGGCTGTAGGATTGGCTTTGCTCAGGCGGTGATGGAGGATGTGGGATTTTGGGGTAACACAGGGTAGCTGCGTCCAGCGGGCTGTGATAACGAACTTCCTCATCTGTTTTAGAACTGGTGCACTCTGATCCTCATCTATACATTAATCGCATACTCTTTCTAGAATGATAACAGTTTACATGCAACTTTTCCCCCCTCATTCATAAAACGGTAAAATCTGGGATGTCTGGTCACCCTAGGAAACACATAAAATGTATCATTATATTGGTGTTAAAAGCTTTTTAAAATAAAGTGTTTTTTTTTAGCTTTATAAACATCAGCTTAATGCATGTCAGCATGGGGTACCATGTGGTTACCATTAGCTTCTTGTTAGCTTGTTATACACCCAGTAAATACAAAAAAAGTTTTAAAATATTTTTAATGGTTATCTAAGTTAGCCAGACCTGTAATCTCTGTTTATGTAGTAGGAAAGGTAATGCATCTTAAAAGTTCAGGGAAGCTTAGAACGTCATGCTTGAAGCAAGGAAGCTGATAAATTTTTCGCTGCAAAATGAAAGCCTCCAGTCTCTGGCAGTCTGAAAGTTTCCTGGAAAATCAGAAAGAAGGTTGCAAAAATTCCCTTTTGCGGAGTTTGATTCTTAGATTACCAACAGGCCCACTTAACTTTGATCAGTATGGAGATTCCGATTAGTGTGGCCTGCATGGCATTCCATTTACAGGGTTCTCTGCACCCGCTTTAGCTTCACCCTCTGGATTATCCTGCCTTCCTACTTCTGCCCGGATCTGATCTCCTGCTTGTTCTCCGTCCTCCAGGGATACAGCATGTGGGACTCTATGATCAGAGCTCGCTGCATTTAGTCATCATCCGACCAGCTAGAATCAACCACGTTCTCCGGGCACAGACTGAACTATTAAACCAGAGGTTGCTGCCCTACACTCCCTGACCACTCATACTGCAGATCCATTTTTCAATACACGCTTTTTGAATAATTATACTGTATGTCTGCCTTGAATACTAGGTACCCTGTTATGAGCGGTGACACAAAGTTAACTTAATCTAAAATAAGCATGGTAATAATAATTGAAACAGTATGAAAAAGTAATCTTGGTCATCTTTGACCTTTGGTTTCCAAAAGGTTACTATTGACCCCTTGCACAAGAAGGCCAATTGCTAAAGAGGCTGGCTGTTCACAGTCTTGCTCTGATTGTGTAGCTAAAAGAACTAGATTAAGAGAATATCTAAATGTCCTTGCACATTTTTTAAGTTAATTAGCTTATTAGAGTGTGACACCCAGTGTCCATAAATAATAATAATCTTTAGCAGTGCATGTGACCCTTTTCTGGACTTGTGTAGTACAAACCTAGTCAAAATCTGGTAGGCATCTCATTATCCCCTGTGCTGTCCTCAAACCACATGCTAAGTCATGTTGATAAGGAAGTCTCTGATATGGGAGATAAGCAGCGCAGAAAGTTTTGCCCAGTATGGACCCTCATATCGAGCATTTCCTAAGGAATGGTGTTGAGGGCTTAGCTTAAGTCCACCAGAAGTCACAAGGG